AAACTTAAAATCATTTACACATATTGACAATGAATGCTGTGTATTCAAATAAGATAAAATGAATCCATTATCATAACATTCGATTTCACTGCATTGTTAGGCAACAAATTATTGCTTATAGTTACTTACATCATTCCATTATTGCAGGTGTGAACACCAGGAAACAACGGCGCGAAAGAACTACATTCACGAGGGCACAACTGGACGTTCTTGAGGCACTTTTTGGCAAAACTCGCTATCCTGATATATTCATGCGTGAAGAAGTGGCACTTAAAATCAATTTACCAGAGTCAAGAGTACAGGTAAGGGAAAACCAAAAAAAAAACAGTTTTTTTGAAATCTTCAGTGTTGAAGCCTTCAACCTTCAACCTTTAACAGCAACCACTAGATATTTTTTCTGCTATACCTGTAGTCAAGAATATACCATCCTCAGGGCAATATGGGTACTATACCCAGGTGCAAGCCTTTTTGGGGCGGTAACTTTTATTGGCGATATGCGTTCTAGGTACCTATTGTTTTGTTGCGATAAAAACAAAAAAATTGAAATTATAAAATGTCTGTAATAAGAGACTACTAATTAGTTTCAAAAAATTTGTTACTGTACTGTATTCCGCTATTTACTGTTTATTCACCATTATTATTTTTTCTTTATAACTTACATGAAATTGGGTACAGATTATTCAGACAATTATTCTGAATATTCAGACAAGACAATTTTTAATCTGATAACAGTCATTTGAACCTGCAGTAGATTCAGTTTCTCGATAGTCTCTAAAGCGCAAAAACAGTTGCTAATGTAACAGAAACAGACGTAATGTTGCCAAGAAATTATCCTCGCGCTGTTAAATGCGAACATTTATCAACAATTAGGATAATAGCAAAATCCTCAAATCCAAAGTGCAAACAAAGTTTGCTTCCAAAGTTGACAACAGCATATGGACATGTGTGCTTCTAAGCGATTACGCGTTATCACTTTTGGCTAGCGGCGGGAACTGTTAACAACTTAACTTGCTTACTGCGCTTACACGGCTGCAGTGGTAAATATCTCTGCTGCTTAAGCAAACATTGCTGGTGTGTCACAAACTAACATGAAATGAATGCAACATTCTGACGAACTCGGCAACAGAGCACAATGGCAAAGACGACGAGTTACCCTCTATTAACGGATTTGTTTGCACAACTCGATGACAAATTTTGAACATGATATGAAAATATTTTAGGAAAGTACCGGACGAGATGGGCACCCAGAACGAAAGGGATTGGGAAATTTCAAATAAATACTGGCAACTACTGTTTTCGTTGTTATTGTTATTGTTATTGTTTTACTTAAATTGGTTGTTGCCAATGTGCGTAAGATTTGTCTGCAATATCATTCTTGTTTACTTAGGTGTGTTTGCTGTGATTTATTTAGATTTTTATTTGCTTTTCCTGGCATTGTTCCTGGCTCTTAGCGAAATGTAACACACCACAATGACATAATTATTCCGAATAACAGAAGCGAGCGGTATCCTTAATATTTTTCTAGCCTCATATGACTGACTGCCTTTCGCCGTTGGCCAAATTATTCAACAGCAAAAGAGCAACAATACAAAATTATCAGCTACAGCTACTCGCAAATAAAGAAAAAAACGCAGTCCTGTGAAAATGCATATAGCTTGAAGCAAAAAATGTCCTTTTTGCACTATTGCCTGCCGCATACATATATAGGTATCATGTGACTAAGAGTACTGATTTCAAAGAGATAAAATGGAAAAATAATGTGAATTGAGATGTCAACTGAACGCTGTAAGAATATGCCTGGAATCACTAAGTTTGTCCATCAATTGAACATGACAAGCAAAACAAAATAATAATAGATGTATTTTAGGTTTTAGCTGTAATGATTTCTGTAAACACAGCCGCCAAGAAGTTGATTTGAACTGCACCAACTGAACCGACACATAAATGCACATCTACATCTACTTCGAACGCATATAGGAATCAGTTTAAATTTAGAAATAAGCAGAAAAGATATGGAAATGAAATTTGCGAAAATCGATAATTTGTAATTTAAGGACGTGACATTGAATATGAATGCAAGTATAAGAAACAATTGAAACAATAAAAATTCAAACCAATAGTTAACATGGAATTGGATATGAACGTGTTCTTTGGATGTTAAAAAGCAATGGGAAGCCATTCCAATTGTCGCATGGACAAAATTCTTTAAATTTGTTGAAACAATCGCAATCAATACGACCGTAACACTACGAACTGAACTCAAACTGAAAAACGACACGTTCCAGCGCGTGAATAGGACAGGACATTGCTTAAGTGCAATCAAGCAGTCGAAATCGATCGATTACCTGTGACTGGAGTGAGAGTGCAACTCAAAATATTCGTTCATTCAATGCCCACAGACGAGCTAGCCGCTGTCACTTTATGGTATCCTTCGTATGCTATGCTTCTTCTATTTGTTTTTCAAGAAATATATTTTTCTTTATTGGAATATTGTATTTCGTCTGCTAACTATTTTCGTTCGAGAGCGGCAAATCGGTCAATGTTCTTTATAAACTTTTTAAGACAAGTAGCCATCCAACAACTGCAATAGTTCACAACAACAAGTATGCAATTTGCAAAGTAATTTAAGTGTGTACTTCGATTCAATTCCAAATGTCTTCGCTCATTACCAATAATGAATCTTTTAAGTCATTAGCTATTACCAACTTATGACTTCATTGTTGTTTAAAAAATTTTTTAAATTTATTAGTTTGGTACTTTATAAATTCAGAAATGAAAATCTCAATGCTAAGAACAGGAAACTGATATAAAACCAAATAACTCGTCTGTCACTTCTATATGGATGTGTAGCGTTTAGCAAAACTTCAAACACTACTATTCGCCAGCTAGAAATTGCACAAAGCCACGCTCTGCAAAGACTTTTCAAAGTACCATGGTAGATTAGGTACGAATGACATCCTCAGGGACTTCAAGATTTATCCCATCAAAAAATACATAAAGGATAGAGCCCTGAAATTATTTGCGAAAACTGACAGACTTATCAACACCGCGTTATCAAATCTCAGAATGGTTACAGGCTCCTCGCGAAGGTATGCAGATCTGAGGTCAATTATTGCTTAGAGTGATGAAGTGATAAACAAAAATCTAGTCAAGGTGCACTGTCTCAAATAGCTTCAACATAATATAAATTTTACTGTATGATAACGATTAATTAAAATATAATATTTTAAAAAGATTTTATTATAACTGCAAGTTAATTACATTTAAATCTGTTCAGCCGCCGCTGGGCTGGCGCTAAGAATTGGATAACCGTGGATAATCAATATACCGTGCAGAGTTGATGGGATATCATTAGTTTCTTGCTACGAATTTATTTGTTGGATTGTATTGCAGAATTCAACTAATACATAGATTTTATCAGTTCTATCCACAATCACTTGCAATCATGTACTTAAGTAAATGATATTATTTCTTTTTAAGCGTTTCTTCAAGTGAAAACCTAAGTGTTTTGCATTTCGGTTTCGTTGAAGAAACCTCTTATAGAAAAAATAAACTAGAGGGCATTAACATCGCCAAATGGTATATATCTAATGTCATTTTAACTGTTTATATTAAAACTGTTAACAAAACAGTATTCTTTTGCGATATAGCGCAAATATAATATATCGATAGATGTTTTATAAAAATTGGCTTTTTACCTGTAATAAGTGTTAGACCAGGAATATGATATTGTAACAACGCGGATAAGATCATCTATTTTTCTAATTTTTTGAGCTGCTTGTTAAATCGCCATGAGATCTGAAATTGTTGTAAGTATAAGTCGTCTCCGTTGTGCTGTCTGTGAAAGAAGAGTAGATACTTTAATGTTGGCATGACGTGGGTTGCTCCTTGCGGAATTTGATATATTCTTACGCAACATTGAGAACAATTGACATCGTGCAAAATCACGATTTTGTTTCATTATCTTTCATAAAATCATATTTTTGGAATTAATCTTTGCATTTAAGGATCAATATTTACATATTAAATAAATGTTTATATTATATATTAAATGAAATTAATAATGCTGGAAAAAGTGATACTTTTGCTGTTAATATCTTTGAAATAACCAGAATTTTCTTAACAAACAAAGAAATTTGTACACAAAATATATTTTATATAGCAAGACATAAAAACTATCAAATTGATTTGTTGAAACCCCGCTTGAAGTACCAAAATGGAATCACAACTAATTAAACCACAATTTAACACTAAGTGCAACTATTATTGACCGGGTCACTATAGATTGAGTAATCACCTATCTAAGTTAGGCATTCAATCCAACTTGCACTGCAGATACTGTAGAGAAGAAAGAGAAACTGCATAACATGTGCTTGGGGAGTGCCCGACACTAATGCACAAGCGGGAGAAACACCTAGGAAGATGGATCATAAGGATTCAAGACTAGGAAAGATAGGCTCTATACAGTCTTTCATTAAAGAAATCGGACTTGGAGAAACACTCTAATCCGACTAAGGGGCTCAATTGATCTTTTAGGTCGCAGTGCATGATACCTTCTTTTAATAATAGTAATAGTAAGTACAATTATTGCAGTTAGTATGACATTTGTCGGCTATTAGAGTGCAATTTAGTATTTTGCTTAATTTAGTTCAATTCTTATCTAACAACTTTTCTGCAATTGCAACTAAAAATATAAGTAATAGAAAAAATTGTTTAAAACAATATTATGATTAAGTTGTATGTTGATGGTAATTACATTTATCAATGTCAAATAAATAGCTAGCATAATTTTTAAGTCATTTTCTTAATATTACCTTCAAAAATCAAAATACCCATATCAACTAAAGGCCCGCAGCATAGTGTGCATATCCGGTGAAAAACATTTTTAATTAGTTATTGCATAATCTGATTTACTACATTCTGCCAAACAACTGTTTGTTTCTACATCTGTAGACTATCTTAATTTACTAGTTAAGAAGTGGTTTTAATGTGACAAGTGCCCTAGAGTTTCGTTGTCTTCTAAAGTCACAGATACAATAAAAGTACATTTGAATCTTTTAAGATTGATTATGAAAACTGAACTTCCTGTGATATATATCTATTAATAGAAGTTATCAAATCTTGTCGATTATTAATGCCAACTATTATTCCTATCATCTAATGAGAGTAACCAGTTTTTGTATTTATATATACATTAATATGTATATAAAAAGTGATATTTATATTGGTATTATTTTCCGAACTTCATTTAAAAACTCTTTGTTTGAAAATCTATAACTAACTCTACTATAATTGCTTTTTT